AAAGGGCCCCCCCCCCCCCCAAGAACAGTTCTCACTTCATTTTACAGGGAAGTCATGAGGTCAAAAGGAAAACGTTTAGCACAATGAAAGGCAGCTATGCCAACCCCCTTGGGGAAATGAGGGATAAAGCAGAGTAAGCAATTACTAAACTTCACCATTAATAATTACAGTCATTAGGGAAACTTCACTCAAAACAAGTCTTACTCTGTTTGGCTCAGTGTGTTAGGAAGGCTGGTGTCTCTTGCCTGCTTGAGGAAGTCTCACCTAGTGCAGTGCCTGCCAGGTGAATTTGCAAAAAAATAGAATAAAATAAATTGCAATATATGTATTGCAAATTTTTTTTTTTTTGCAAATTCACCTGGCAGGCACTGCACTAGGGGAGATTTCCTCAAGCAGGCAAGAGACACCGGCCTTCCTATATAATATTTTTTTTTCCCCCCTCAAGCATGGAAAGGAGGACTCTGAAGAGCAAGCTACTTGGATAGATACAAAGAGCCTAGTTACCTGCAGCGTCCGTCAGCGTGCGGCCACACAGTCCTGGCTCCCAAGGCTGCCTCCAGTGTTGGACTGATGGAGCCGACTAGTACACGGAGAATTTAGAGCCCTCAGGAGTGCTGCAGCCACGTGACCGAGGCACTGAGAAAAGTGCCCTGCTCCTCAATTATCAGGTCCTTTCCTTGCAGCGCTGCTGAAAGCTCACAGGATAACGAGCTGGTGAACTAATGAGAATCAGAGCTGTACCCCTTCCAGGGTAAGGATCACAGGCCGTTCTTCCCACCTCTCCCCGAGACAAGGCATTACAAGAGAGTCTCCGATGATGTACAGGTACATGCACGGTCTATAGAAAACGGCTTTGAAACGCACTATGATTACAGCTGGGGGGGGGAAACGGGGATGGAGACTCCTAGTCCCAGTTCCAAAGGGCAGGAGAGCTGTATTGGTCTCTGTATCCAGAGAAACAGGTTTCAGTTCAGCATGAATAGTCCAAGTCAAATTGAACAGGACCTACCTGTGAGCTTATAAAAAGGGAGCACTTTGGCACATGGCTTGCCTTGATCCAAGCAGAAGGGCAGTGTGCCTGTAAGCTTGTCTAACATCTCTTCCAATGATACAATTGTTCCAATAAGAGATCTCACCCCCCCGCAAAAAACCCCCCACTCACTTCTCCTTAATCCAGGACAAGGCATAAAGACCTTGATGGTCACCTTTCTACCTCAAAGCTCTCCACAGGACCGAGCCCTTGCAAGGCTGTGTTGTTCTACAAGTCACCTGCTGTGAAAACAATGGCAAACCTGTTGGGCTTGTAATTCAGGGGCCCAGGAAATCCCAGTTATTGAAACACGTGAAGAAAGTGCCGTCTTTTGCAACGCCTTTGTGTTCCCTAGATTTTTATGGAGGCAAACTAGTCGTTCACAAGAGGTCTCCCAGTCTTTAGTGCAGAAATCACTTCATCAGGGAGAAAGCAGAGAGGCAAAATTGGAGCCTCTTTTAGTTAAGTGCTGTGCATACAGAAACACAATCCGTGCCTTGAAAAGCACATGGCCCAGGCAGAGAAGATGGCCCAAAAAAATAGGGAGAGATGGGTGCACAAAAGCTAAGTGACTAAACAAAGGCCCAACAAATCCGTGGCACAAGCAGGAACAGAAACCAAATCCCCTGAACTCCCAGCCAAGTCTTCTACAGTTACAGAGATCTTGCTATATTTGAATGTGAAGCAGACCCTTGGTCAGAAATCATTATAAAAAAAAAAAAATGTCCAGCCTTGGAGCACACAAATACAAGATAATTGTTTTGAACTATAACCGCACTATTTTTAGCGGAGACAGATAAGAGCTCCTTGAACCTGAAGTTACAGAGTAAAAGGACTGCCGAGAAGTCAATATGTTAGCCCGTTAGAGATAACACAGAAGAGCTTAGTCCAAAACCCTGCCAGATGCATACAGATATGAACCAAACCAGCAGAGCTCCAGCCTCCTACTGGAGATCCACGCTATTAGACCACAGAAGGATAAAAAGTCTCTCACATGGTAAAACTAGCACAAATTTAACAAAGAGCTCTCTGGCCAACAGCATTAAAACACAGTAGCCGAGTCTTTCTAGAGTGCTTTTCATCAATACATCCTCAAAAGGCTTTGCAAAAAAATCAGTCACCCATCATTACAGGGGAGAGACCTGAAGCAAATGATCAGCTCTCTCTTAGCAGGCCAGGATGGAAACAGAAGCGAGAGCTGCATGCCCAAGTCTAACACCCGATACAGCAAAGCTTCCCTACCTCTTCTCAGACAGGTAAACTGGACTAACGACACCAGCTGCGATAAGGAAGAGAGCACCTACTACACAATTAAGCAAGAACTGTATATATTTAGACGGCAACTAATGCCCCTTATCTGTGTCCTATAAAGTGTGAACATTTATGGTGCTATAAAGGCTTATAAATAATACCAGCAGTGTCAGCATATTTGTGGCTTTACAGCTCCTTTGCAGAGAAGAAAAATGGTTAAACTAAATCAGGCAATTTAGGAGTCAACAGGGTGACTTGGACCAATACCTGGACTACAGAAAGAGGCAATGATTTCTGATATTGTGTAGGATCCCCTGACATTTCTCTAGAGGAACAGAAAGTAAAGGGACGTCACAGTCAATGCTCGAGGCTCCTTTGGTGTAAAGGGTCTTATTCATTTTGGCCACAAAAGTCCCTACTTCCCTCAAACGTAGTGGTACCCCCTTCAGCTCCACAGGAGAAGCAGACTCACAAAACTGAGGCATGGGGTTGGTTCACAGGCTGGATCCCACCTGGAGTTGGCATACAGGATCAGTCTGTATGATTCAGAGCACTGGTCTGGCCTTGCTCCATGGATCCAGCTGCGTGCTAGCTCATTCGCATGCTCCAGCCTGAACCCTGTGCCCAAAAATGGGCACTAGTGGCCATCACAGAGGACAGTCCAGTGGTCCCCTGCGGATATGAAACCGGATGCCCTTATGTCCTCTATTTTTCTCTTCAAGAGAAAAATAGAGGGCATAAAGGCATCCGGTTTTGTATCGATAGAGGGCACAGGACAACCGGACCGTCCTCTATGATGGCCATCATACTGGCCACGTGCTGGCACAGTCTAGTGCACAAGGCCACATTATACAGCCTGCAGCAGGGCTCCCCATGGGTCCAGAAACTTGGCAGCGGGAGAGTGGCAACAGTGCCAACACTCCCCCACTGCCAGATTTCCAGCCATGTGGGGAGCACGGCTTTGCAGACTGGATCTAGCCTGTGGGCCAGGGGTTGGGGACCACGGTCTTGCAGCATCACCTCCTTGGAGTAGCGGAGTCGGAGTCTCTGCTGTTTCTTGGAACCTGCAGTACCGAAACCATAAGCGTAGCTTCCAGTAATAAAAGTCATGTGTGGACAAAGGTTTAGAAATCTTAGCTCCACATCTTATGTGCCAGCAGGCTCAGATGGGATCAATTAGAAAGCCTCATCTTTGGAGATAACCCAGTGCTGGCCGAGTACAAGAACAGAGACCATATCGACAGTCCCACTCGATACTGCTCTGCATGGGCATGGAGAAGATCACAGCATAGCGGCAATCCCAGCTGGACTGTTTTCCAGCACTGTCTGCACAGCCAACCTGGGCATCCCCAGGAGGTCTGGCCTTCCTCCCACCAGCTGGACCAACATGATGGGAAACACTTCTGGCAGGAGCACTGAAGCAGGGAAACACCACATTTCATTTGCCTATCATGCAAAAATGAACTGGGACACCACAGGCCCTGTCGCTGTGCACCATCACACGGCATTGCATGGTTTTTGGCTGTAGCCGTGTTGATCTAAGGACATAAGTAGGCAAGGTTCCTTGGGTAGATGAATAAAAGGCATTACAGGCCTTTTATTCCTAACCGCGAGGTGGAGAGGAATCTTTTGGGGGCCTCTATAAAAATCAGAAGTCATCAACTGCTACACATCCACCATCACTAGAACAAATGCCTCTAGTTGATCAGGGCCCAATTATCGCACCACAGCATCCTTTACCTCCGCTTGTAGCATAAAAAGGAGTTGTAAAGGCCCTTTACTCTATTAGAGAGATGTGAAAGCACATGGCTGAATACCTGAGAATTCAGGTCTCCAAACTTAAATAAAAGACATGCAAGGGGGGCAGGGAGAAGCAAACCCAAGTAATGTCTTAGGAAACCGTAAGGACAAGAGCAATCGCTGGACACTTGTAACTAGGCAGAGCTACCTGCTGGGAGCCAGGGAATTTTAACGAGCAACTCACCGAAGTTGCGACAACTAGCAGGTCTCAGAGTCGGGATGCAGAAGACTTGTGTTAGCAGCTACTGCCACTCCACCCCACTGGCATCAAAACCTGGCAATAAGACGAACAGTCGTTACAACCCAAAGGCACGCATACGGTCAGATGGCTTTATCATCAGGTTTCTTATGTGGCATTTTCAACCTGCTGTAGCCCAGCCTTCTCAGCCAGAGCTTCACACAGATCATATTAAAAAGAGGACAGAGCAGAGGAAAAGCACTTCTGAAAGTCACCGTGTTACCCAAGCCCATGCCTGTTTTTAAGCAGGCATGTACACCACTTCCTTGTTTCGGTACATTGTCAACGCAAAGCCATAAAGATGCTAGATGCGATTTCTTGACCCAAGCGAGAAGAGGAAATAACAGTCCAGCTTGGTTTGAGTCAGGGTGCGGGGAAGGAGGGGAGTTCTTGGACATCTCCGACCCCTACAAAAGCTTTTAACTTAACTGCGAGCCACCCTCATGGCTTCAGGAGCCTGGAGCAGAGGGAGAGGAGTGATTGAAAAGAAAACTGCCAGCTAATTTGGCTGACACAAGCCTCTCCCTTCTCTTCCAGGAACCAAGGAAGCTGCCTCTCTCAAAAGTGAGTTCTCTTTCCTGTCTCCTGCCCTGAAAGAGGAGGCATTTTACTCAGCTCTCTCCTTTGACTGATGTAAGAGATAAGAAAAAAAAACAAGTCTAGAGGGCAGAGAACAAGCTAAAACCCTTAAGTATCTAATTATACACACGGATTGAAAGCCTTCCACTTACCAGGTTTTTTAGCCCGTCTTCATAACGGGTAGAAGAGATGGATCTATTTGTAACAACAACAACTGAGCTTCCCAATTTTTGTCAACTTTTGCATTGGTCTGGTGTGGTTTGTTTAACTATCTTTTGCTTACTATAATGCCTGATCATTTAAAAATCACCTTAAAACACTGGGTTTTGGAAAGCAGACCAGCTGGATTTGGGGTTTCCATACACTGCTCTTAATTTCTCCCAGCTCTTTTGCTACTCTACCATGGGTACTTTTTGATCCATATTTTGAGCAGTGGCTCTTGTTCTAGGCGCTCAGCGTGATAACTTCAGGCCCATTTTTTTCCTGGCTTCTGGGCATCCTCCAACTTAAGTGAAGCTGGTAGCAGCAGCTCAGCTTCTGGGGAAAGCAAGGAGCAGGCCCAAGTTGCATCTCAAGAAACTGCATCAAGGACTAAGGGTCCTCCCAAGCAGGAATCAGGCGGGCCAGGTGGAAGAGAGAACAGCCCAGCTCCTGCTGGGAGGCTGAAGACTGAAAAGAAAAACTTGCTAAGCCTTTGCTGGAGCCTTCCCTCTCTCACCATTGCCAACATTTTTCGGGGGGGGGGAGCAGCGGTGGAAATCACAGACTACTTTTAGTCCGTCTTAACTGACCCATGGCACCCCGACTAGCTGGATGACTAGTATTAGGTCAGGGGTGGGCAAAATACAGCTCAGGGGCCAGATCTGGCCCGCCAGGCCATTGTATCCGGCCTGTGGCTCCCCTAAAAAATTTAAAATCAATATTTATTTGTTCCTAGGTGCCTGTCAGAGACGACAGGAGCCAGGGGCAATAAGACCCAGAGGAAGCTAGTGGCAGGACCCAGCAGCAAGGTCTGCCCAGCCCTTGTCCCCCAACCAGAAACCCCTGCCTAGCAGAGGCTTCTGGCCTGGGACCATGGGGCTGTTCCTGCTTCCTTGTGCTAGAAAGGGAAATGCAGCCCTCAACAGTTTGCTGAAACTCAGTAAGTGGCCCTTTGCCCAAAATAATTACCTGCCCCTGCACTG